CCTGCACAGCTGGATGGACAGATTCCTTTAGGATGGTATTTATGCATAGACTGCTGTACTGAGGTCTGTGCAGCAGTTGTAATTATATTGTTACTTCACTGCAGCTAAGCAAAGAAAGACATGGTTGTGTTCATATTTTACCATGGGTGACGACCTGGTAGCCTTCAAAGGGTCTGTGGAGGGACCCTTTTGTTGTGCCCTCCATTGAAGGAAGGGGACAGAAGTGGTTATGTAGACACAAGAAATTGAAACAAATGGCCAAGAACTTGACCCAGGTCTTCCAGGCCGACAGAAAGAAGCTGGTCATGTCAAAAATCTAAAGCCAACTCCTGATTGCCTTTGGGAGTCATTTATTGCCTTGAACAGATGTTCTCAACTACAGTTAACTTTGAATCCTGCATGGTTTGGGTCTGATGTAGGATGATTAGCATTCCCTAGCTCTGGACTGCAGCGTCTGGTTTTTGGTGCCACCTCACAGTATGGTGTGGCAACAGAGATAAATGGTGCCCTGCTGCAAATGGTATGCGGTGATACTTTGCAATTCTAATGAACCCATCCTGTGCTCTTCAGCGTCCTTTAAACCTTGACAATTAGGAAGAGTAAAGAACGGAAAAAGTCTTACTAGAAGGGAGACAACAGGGAAGCAGAGCCTGTGAATGCCTACAACAAAGAGAGGAATATAACTTCATACTGACACTTTGAATTGTTCTGTTCCCTTTTCAGATATATTTTGGAAGATGCTTATGTTTTTATTATAAAATAGATCAGTTAACTGCTTCACTGTTTTATATGCTTTTTATTTTAATCTGGACCTGAGCCTGATGTTGCCATTAAATCATCTGCTTTGTCCTTCTTTATTTATATTCTTCCATGTTAATTTATTGCCTCTTTGCCTTTAATGAAGCAGAGGTGGCAGCTTTACAGATGGGAAACTAAATCACAGAAAAACTACGTGACTTTTTACATGACCTATGCAGAGAAAATTAATAATCACTCATTGACAGGTGCAGGCACTACATATAAGTACTGCAAGTAGTTTAGCTATTTTGGCTGTGTTGATTTGGGGAAAGTTCAGATTTTATGAGAGAATGAATGAGACATTAGTGCAAACTTTTTTCTTTTCCTTACAGTTTTGCTTATGGTGCATCCATTCAATGAAGGCTTTATGTACGTCTGGGTACTCTCCTGGCTACCATTGGGTTGGATTTCTCTCCTCCACTATAGTGCCATTATAATGCTGCGCTGGTTTTGGCTTTTGACATGGTCCCCTGGCAGAATTACTTAATGATGCACTCTTTATTCTCCCTGCTTGCTTTCCTTTTCCTTTATGTTAGTTTTCTCTCATCCCTCATAGGCTTTTCTCATGCTCTTCCTTTCTCCTTTCCTTTTAGCAATGTCTCCTATTTGAACTTTAGAGCAAGTCTTCCCTCTCTGTTGAAACGTTTCACTCCTGTCTGCCATTCACCTTCTTTTTTACTCCTCTAGGAGCAGATGCCAGCCTGTGCTGACATCATCCCCCAAAAGATTGCTTTGCTAATTGCTATGACAGAGAACTTGTTTGTTTGTTTTTCATTCTCCTTTTGCTTTCTATTTTGTCCTTTTTGCACTGGGCTGTTCAATCTTGGGTGAGCTCAGCAAGGTCACTGGAGTCATTGGCAGGCTTGGCAGAAGGGTGTTCTACGTGATCCATTTGAGGCATACAACAAAATCTCTGATGTCTATTGACAGCTCCCAACATTTTGTAAATACCAGCCCTTTAGCCGAAGCCTTACTATTGTCAATTATCAGAACTAGAAGACTGTTAACCATATTTTACTTATGTAACTGCACCAGGCCTTACATGCATACAGAAGTAGTCTGTGGGTAAATTGTAACCTTACTTAGCAGCATAAGGAGTCAGGAACTGGCTAAGTAAGACATTTTTAAATGAGGTTGTATGTATCGGTGTCACTGCTGAATTTTTAAAAGTGGGGTAATGATGTCTGAAAGCCTCGTTAGCAAATATCTTTGAGAAGTGAGGAGGATGCTGAGGTGCCATGAGGTGAAAGAAAGGCAAATATCTTTCAAGATACATGAAAAAGGAGAACAAGGGCAATATAAACCTGTCAGCTTCTTCAAAAGCCAGATTAATGATAATTGATGCTAGAGGCAAAATCTTATTTTGTCGGGATGTAAAAGGTTTTTGTACCAAGTGTGAGTTAAAAGTTAACAGATAAAGCCTGGCTGAGATATAGTTCTCACTGGAAATATCTTGTGGCTCTGAAGGACAGAAATATCTTGGAACAGCAAGAGGGGGAACAAATGACACAAAACAGACCAGAACCTTCAGCTACAACCTTTTTTCTTTTTCCAGAGGAGAAAACTTCCTTTACTTATATGTTCATTGCAATACCTGGCATTTAGGTGTGCAATTGCAACACTTTTTCCATGTACCAAGGTGTTTAAACTAAAATTTAGCCCAGGTTCTTGGAGGTGAGAACTTAGCAATCAGCAAATGTACCGCTTTGCAGATGTGGCTAATCGTGTGACCCATGACTAAAGCACCATTTTGGGAGTGTGAATTGATTTCATAGATCTTTTCTCATTTTGCCTCATAAAACGCAGAAATGGAAGACGTGTCTTTGGGCCCATGACGGCCAGGGAACAGTCTGTGACATATCACCACCATTGGACAAGTTTGCTCCCAGCCCAGCCTACAAACCCTAGTGTCTGATAGGTATCCAAATATTGGCATCTTTCTTTTGTGCCTATCCATAGCCAAAAGCCCCCATCAGTGAACTGATCTTACCAGAGTAAAGATCTGGTAAGTAATCATCCTGTTGGCATGGAGAAGAGCTAAAGTCTTAGTCTTATACCTCTGCTACAGGTCAAATAAATGACCCTGAATTTTCAGTACAATGACAGTGACAGCTGGGAAAAGCAATTCATTATAGACAATTGCATTTTACCAGAGAAATGTTGTCCAAAATAAAACAAAGGGTTCAGTGAAGAAAGAAAGGAATCTAAAATAGTGTTGGATTAGATTGTCCCTTCCAGATCAAATCCTAGTATTATTTGCAGCACTGTTTTTGGGAAGTCTGCAGTGCTTTGGCTAAGTACCACCACTGGCCAGTTACCCATCTCATCCTCTGCAGCACCGAGGGAGAAGATGGTTCAGCAGGAGCCACCTTTACCTCCACCTCTTACCCATGGGGCAAATGGAGTGCCTGAGGCCCTGATACTGCTTTTGCACAGAGAGAGGGAGCTAGAGATATATTCAGCCCTACTGGCTTTAGATGTTCACATTTTGCACTGTCTGCAGAACCAGAGAAAAGGCAGATTAAGAATCCTTGACTAGGAATCTCAAGGTCATGCAACAATATACTGTTTATTAACCTGTGCGGGTGATAATGATATTGATTGAGGTGATAGATGGTAATAATTCTTGTGACATAATTATTATATTTGATGGGCTTTTTGAAAAAGTGAGAGACAGTAGATTCTCTAAGGCAGTAGATTATCTAAGCTAAATGTATAGAGGCATATAAAATGCATTATGCATTTAGTTGTTTTTATACCAAGAATTCCATGAAATGATGGCTGTTGAGAATCTGCTGGATTGCAAATTACTTATGTACAGAATTTGGTTCTGGAGGAAATTGCACCATACTTAAGTTCCAGAGTTCCTTTGCACATTCACATAACAGCCAGACACACTGTGTATAACACATGACAAATTGTGTACCAATCTCTACCAAGTAAACTCTGCTCCACAAAATATGTACAATGCCAACACTGGAAAAAGAAGGGTGGCCATTGCATTTTAGGTATAACCTTTTCTTCCTTGCTCCTATATGGATCAGAGGTGTGGTCATGGTATAATTAACTTGCTCTTTCTTGCTTCTTGGCTAAAATATCTGGATTCCTTTGGATAGTCATTTGATAAATCTATTAATACCTTTTCCACTGCCTTTCTGAAGTAATTTGGCTAATGTGCAAAGCTGAACTTCCAGCCAAGTCTGAAAGGCTTTTTTCCCCATTTAGAAATTGCAACTGTTCCTTATGTGCAGCAATAGTTTTCCCTTTGAAGAGGGCAAGATGGCTCTATTAGAAGAACTTATGGTTTTTGGATAGATCTCTTGGGTACCTTTACACAGAAAATGATCACATTGAGGTACTTATGAAAAGGAAACCCTTTTACCTGTTCTGAAGTTGGCATGGTGCACATCAGGTAAATCTGGATGCCTGTGCTTTGTGTGCCTTTGCAGTGCCCTCAGTAGGACAGAACAGCTTTGAGCACCATTAGAGACATCCCTGCCTCCTTGTTAAGCTTTTACCACCTTTGATCCTCAGCCTGGGAAGATGAAAAACCAGTTGATGTCAACAACTGCAGTGGCCTTTTGTTAATTGCCAGGCTGGATCAAAGAGTGAAGCATTTTTGTTGGGATTACATCAGGACATTGCCTCATGCAAGTGGGATGGAGGCAGGCTGGGCATGTAAGGGACAGCTTTGCCCAGGCTGCTGTGGCTCTCTGTGGCAGCACAGTGGCAGAATCAGGTTGTTAGGGTAGGTGTTGGGGATGAGCCAGTGGCATTAAGGCAGCAGGCAAGAGCCTGCATGCAGCATCCAGTTCAAGCTGGCATTTCTGTCTGGTCTATAAGACAGCCAGCCTTGGTCCTGTCAGGAACAGTGCACGTACAGCTGCCTGCAGGGGAAGGGTTGTCTAAGAAACAGCAAGGCTGGTGCAGGGGTGATTGGAATATTTTCCATAATAATCCATAAATATCCTTTAAGCATAAGTGATTGTGATGAAATCATAAAAGTAATTGGCTCTTGTAACTCCTTTTTTGAAAACAAATTAAGCCTAAAAACATGTAGAGACCTCCTTCCTTTCCAGGATATTATTGAAAATTAATAGACCATCTGAGCCTCCAGTATCATAAAGTCTGTATCCTTTTTTCTTTTTTTTTTTCTCACATACCTTCAGATTCACCTCCAGCAGCTCTCCATCTGTTTGCAGGCTGTTTTCTAAACCAGTGTGATGCCTCAGGTGCAGAAGAGAGAGACAATAATTAACAATGTGGCCTACAGCATCTTGGGGAACAATTAATTTTAGTGAATGGACAGGGGGAGGAAGAGAGAAGGTAAGCTTTGCTCATTTGTCTGCTCATGCATTTCACAGCTGGGAATATTGGATAGATGCACATACAGATATGCATGTATCTCCCGAAAAGACTATTTTCAGCATTCCAACTTTCACTCTTTTGCAATGGCTGTTGTGCACAGAAGCTACTTGAAAATGACAGTGCCATCTGCACTGAGGAGATTAGGGGGTGTCAAGGAATACTCTTTTTCACTTCTCTCATTCCTGCTTCTCTCCATCCTGTCCCTGGAAAAATCCCAGCTTTTAAGCTGTCAAAATAGTTTTAAAGCTGGTCTCTGATGTATAGAAACCTGTGAGACAGAACCATGACAGCTATGTACTGTCAGAGGAGTATGACTGCTCAAAAAAAAAAAAAAAAAAGAAAATCCAATACTGCTGAATAAAAGAACAGGGAAATGTAGGAGGCTGCAGTAGCATGTGGGGTAGTTCTTTCATGCATATGAAAGATACATTGATCAGGGAATGCTAAATTTATGTACAGGAAGACCATTTGACTGATTTATACTTAGATTATAATGTGCATGCAAGGAACTGAAAATTATTAAAGATCTGCACATCTATAGAGAGGATAAAAATGAAAACTATACTATGAATTTAGATTTTTTTCTCCCAAATGTAGGTCCTGAAATTAGAAAACCAAATCCATTTATAAGCTTTTAAATGCAAGTGGCCTCATTTCCGATGTGCTGTGCAGCCACTGCATCTGCAGGTTTCTGTTATTGACACTGGCTCTATTTCTGAAAAACAGCTGTCAGGAAGGAGTTCCTATAGGATCTCCTCTGACGTGTCTAGCTGGCAAATAGCCATATCCAACTGCAGGACCCATGTGCCATGTGAGTACAGCTGGAGAGATGGGGATGTGCTGCTGAGCTTTTGGACTGTCTGTGTAATCTCCAGGTAGGAATCCAGCAGAAATGCTGAGGGAGGAACACCACCACACTTGACTTCTTTACTTCTTTTTCACATCCCTCTGTCCCTTCCTCTTCACACACTGGTACCCATGCTAAATGAAGAGACTATTTGAAGCAGCAGAAGAAACTTGCTATGTTGTTTCTGAGAGTGAGATATCACAGATGTGACTGCTTGGTTCTGTGTGAAGCATGGGAAAATGAGGTATTTCAAGACTGGTTCATCTGAAAAGTGCATGGTCATATTTGGAAAATGGCTGTGCTAGTAACAGGCATCTGAAACCTTAATTATGAGCCCAAATAAGGTGGTTTATAAACCTTTGACTTTATTCTAGAATTTTGTAATATCACAAGTATGTTTGCAGTAGAGAGGAAACAACATGCCCCACTGGAAAGCTAGCAGTGCATTTATCCCTTCAGGGAACAAACTCATTTGCCCTTTCCCTTTTATGTCTGCTTATTCAAACAATTAAATAAACTTTAAAAAATAAAAGCATCTTCTCTGAGCCACTCTCATATGTTTTCAGGCAGTAACATAAATGAGAATCAATAATCTAGTGCAGAACTGATTTGAGCATGTTTACATGTTATTAGGGAGCTAAGAGGTTTATTCATGTCTTTAGCTCTGTATGTATGTAGAAACAGCTGCATGAGGAGCCTGCTATTGGCTGCCTGATCCTTGTGCAAAAAAAAACCCCAAACTTGGGCATTTTTCTCTTCCAAATGTCCGGGCTATGACAGCAGGGGAGACTACAGCATGTCTTTCAGGATGTAAAAGCTGTCATTTGTGCATCCAAGAAAGGACAATACTGTAAAAGTAGAAGTGTTTTTTAATAAGGAAAGTCTATGCTGGGAAAGAATGTGAACTCCTCTGGAATGTGAGGAGTGGATTATGTTAATATCTGCATATCAACTTTTCCCTCTTGATTCACTTCATGCTGCATCAATTATACTGTAACTTTTCAAACTGCTGTCTCTAAGTAGCATTGTTAACTATAGCCAAAGGTTGGGAAAAGATTATCCTTTTAAAATTTGATTGCTTGCTCACTAGGAAAGCAACAAGAAGAGGAAAAAAAAGGTGTTACCAGATCCTGTAAAAAAAATATAATTCCATCTATTTTCACTTCTAAATAAAATAAAATCCCCAGAAATTCTCATTTTTGACAATATAAAATATTGCAATGTGAAATATAATTTTGGTTGTAAATGTATCCATGATATTGCACAGAAGTATAAATATGTATCGTACAGAGGTTCTTTGCCAAAATGCACCATTTCACTCCCATAAACAGCTTACTCAAAACCAATTTTACATGGGGAAATTCATCAGAATCCATAGATTTCCATGAATTTTATTATACTGCTCAAGCTACTAACTCTAGCAAAAGATGTTCAAACATTTTTAACCTGTAATAAGTTCCACAGACTTACTTTGGTTTAAAATGTAGTTTTCCATGCTCTGGTTTGTATTACTCCTTTTTTGCATTATGAATGGGAATGAGTTTATGACCTGAAAAAGAAAGCAAATGGTAGTGTAGGGAGCTCTTCCATAATGTAAAGAGTAGAGCATAGAGCAGACAAAGCAACTCCCAGTGTGTGAGCTTTGCACAGCTGTAACTTCTCTGATTCAGTGATGTTTCTTTCAGTTCTTTCAGTTCTTGGGCAAATGGCTGCTGAACATAAAGGATGAGATGCTCTTAACTCATAAAAGACTTGTTAGCAACACAAGTGTCTTTCTCCTTCATATCACTGAGGGTAGTTTTACTGCCTAGGATATCAGTCTTCCATGATCCAAGAAAAACTTCCTCAGAGTTAAACATTCACTTGTATGATTATAGGCAGCTGAGGTTCTGACCTTCTGATATTAAAAATAACACAAAAGGAGCTGTATAAATTATACTGGTGAGTAAGGAGTGAGAAAGAAGAAAAGTTATAGTGGGAGTGACACCCTCAAAAGATTTACTAGGGAAAAAATCCTTACTGGGAAAAGCTTACCATCATTAGTAGTCAAAGAAGAAACTAATGCAAGGAAAACAGTACAAAGGTGGCTGTTGAAAAATTAACATTTGGACATAGGGGAGAATAACACAGAAAGAATTGTCCTAGGCACAAATAGAAAGCACAGTTGGAGTCTGCCCTCCCTGAGTGGCTGCAATCTACCTAAATGGGGAACTGGACAGGACGAGGACTCTCCCTCTGAGAGGTGGGATTTGGATGAATCTGTTTGCAGATGTCTCTGCCTGTGCCCCAAAGACAGAACAGAAAAAAACCCCAAACAAAATCAAAAACAATGACAACAAAAAGCTAGGAGGAGGAATTCTCATGAAAAATCATTATATCATTTATTATTTCATTGAAATGATATGAGCCCAAGGAATTCCAGGATTGTTTGGTCCTGCAATAGCAAGGCATAGAAGAAGAAATAATCTTGTAGCAGTAGTGGAAATGTTCATAGATTATTTTGAACATGCCTTGTTGAAATAGTCTTGGATTCAGAGAGAACTGATTCCTTAGTTCTGTGTAATGATGAGCCTGACCTAGAGCAGTAAAAAAGGAGAGGAGGCAATTAAATTAATTATAAAAGGAAATTCTAAGTACACTAATAAAAAACATGGGATTTTTTTTCAGTGCTTGTATCTTTCCTGCTGCTGACATTCCATGATGATATGGTAAAGCTACCATGTATAGAGCAAAAATTGAAGGAGAAGAATATTAATAAGATGACGAATTCTCCCTCCTGCCTATTTACTGTCAATAATAAACCTTTTCATTTATACCTCTGCCTAAGAATGGCTCATTGTTACTGTATTCCCTGTTCCTGACATACAGTGGTTCCTTAGCCATGCTATGCATATTTTAGCTCATTTAATCTTTCCTTTGAAGTCATTGCCTCCAGCTCTTTGTCATTTATCTTGCTTTTGTCTGGATCCCTTCCAATTCATCCTGGCATGAAGGTAGCCAGATGGCAGTGTCTGGGGTGTGCTTTCAAGAATATGCCATCAGGAAGGGCCACCCAACCCCTGCCATCTCCCAGGTGGACTTGATAAACCCATGGGATCCCCAGTGGGGCCCTAGTTCCTTCCTGCTCCTAAACTCTATTACAGACTGCACACAGTGGAGCAACTAGTAAAAGAGCTGCAAATTGCACTGGCTGTTAGTTTGGGCTTATTTTTTTGTTTTTACTGAACAGCTCAATCCCAGTTCTGACCCTTCTTCCTATGTATACTGCTCAGATCTTTTTCAGCCTTGCTACCTTTCTGTTCCCTTTCTCCCACGGAGTATCTGTCCTGCAGTGTATGATTCCTCAGATTTGCTCCTCTGCATTTTCCAGTTTGGATCTCCTTCAGTGTTTCTAGACAACATCATGAGGTTCCTTAGTGCATTGCCTTAGGTATTTGTTGTTTTCCTCTGTGGGCTCCTCCCATGAACTGGGAAATTGGTTATTGTCTGGGTCATCAAGTCACATAATGATTCTGTGGTGGGTTTTAGCACCACATTACAAACAGTAGATTTTGACTCACTGTGCTTCTCTTTTTGAATTTCCCAAGTCTCCAGAGCCACCCAAAATTCCAGAGCCTTAGTCAAGGAGACAGGCTATGTGGTTTCTCAACGTGTTTCCCTGCTATGCTCCTCATGTGGAACTCAAATTACCTAGCAGTACTTTCCAGCACTAACTTGAAAAGTGGGCTCTGCAGCCTTGAACATGAGACTATAAACAATGAGATCACTTTGGTCAGTTTTTAAAATAAGAGATTGCTGTCCCATCCTCAAGGAAATATACTGTTATTCTTTGTAGAACCAATACATGTTCCCTTCATTTTTCCAGTGTGAAGATACCATGACACCATGTCAGGTGTCTCAGTGTGATATTACAGGTAAATAAAGCATGGTACCTCGAGTATGTCCAAAGCAATGAATGTAAGAATATTTCAAAATGTTTCAAATACCTTATTAAAATCAATATTTTTTATTTATATCCTGTTCCATTGACCATGTAGTTCACAGATCTACCAAAAAAAGCTACTAAGATGCTATACATTATTTTAGTCATTAATATTTAATGCAACATATT